GCAACAGATTTGCTATTGTGGTGCGAGCCCCGGCACCTTTACAGGTAGGGCGCCCCCAACCCGCACCTCTGCCCGGGCGCGTTCGGGGCGGGGGGGAATTCTGGGAGTTGAAGTCCACTCATCTTAAAGTGGCCAAGTTTGCACAACACTGCACTATGCCATACTGCAGAGGCACTGGAGAAGGAAGAGAAGCTTCAGTTAAGATGCCAACAGATCCATACATAAACCGGAAACCTCCAAGGAATTACTTCTCTACTTCTCTGCTAGAAGACTGGCAGAGCGCATCCATGAACACCAACTAGCAGTCAGAAGACATGATGAAAACTCCTTAATCTCACAACACATGGACAGACTTAACCGCAGCTCCAGCTGGGAAACTGTCAGCATCGTAGACCAAGCTAAATCCAGAACCACGCAAGGGAATTCCTGGAAGCTTGGTATGGACAAATCAGCCATCAACAGGCACAGAGATAAACAACATTTACACACCATTCAAGAGAGACAATAAAAAGGAAACAAAACGACCAGAATACCTCCTTGCCAGCAATCAACACCCAGATAAGCAGGGATTAGCACCAGACAAACAGTCAAGCAGTAAACAGCAGCCTAATCTAGGAACTACCAAGGAGAAAACAACTCCCCCCCAACACTGGCCGGGCAAGCTGCTGTGTATAAACAGGGAGCAAACCCCACTCCCTTCAAGCACTGAAGATGTTACCTAGCTGGGTAACGAAACGTCTGCAAGCAAACAGCCAAGCTCAGAGAACCTCAAGGACTCCACAGTTCAACCCTGAGCTGCACATATTCTCTTCTCTTGGTACTTCTTTTTCTCTCCACCACCGTATTCAACCCGCTCCCCTGGAAGATACTCTCACTTATTCCTAACCAGGGCGAAAACATTGTGCAGATATCATGGGAACCAACATCTCTACAAACCACCTTCAGGTCTAGGCCATCCAGAGGGGGGTCCTAGTTGCTGGCAAGCACCATCAGGGTCTGATGAGGGTCAAGGAAGATCTCCAAAGGCAGCGGACTCAGCTTATGACGTTTTGATGTATGCAATACACGCAATCACTTAAAGACATTACCTCACCAGTACGTTGGGCCTATAGCTTTCCAAGAGCTTAAACGTGATTTATCGGGGGAATCTCCATTTTGTTGCCACAGCAACAACTCTGCGAGGTCTGTGAAGTAGGTCTGAAAGAAATGCACTCAGCACATTTTCAGGGCTAAGGGTGGACTTAAGGCTGTCCACAAGCCAATATCAACACAAGCCAACAAACATTACTTCAATGAACTATTACCCAAAGTCCAAAATCGGGGAGTTGGGTCTGCAGCTTACGAATTAGAGAGGGACCTATTCCCACTTCATTAAATTTGCAAATACCTTGGGAAGCAGAACGAACAAATGACTCTTGGTGAGTGAGGGAAAGTCATGTTTGGGGTGTCCGCAGCGTCGCCCCCTCTGACAAGATTGGGGTTCAGGCTGTGCAATGGCTGATCAGGTCCTCTGCAATAAACGTCTGTCTTCCTGGCGAACCATCCGCTCTTCTGGTTATCTCTGGCTGCAGTTGGAAGTAACAAGAGAGATAGCCAGCTCTTTCTATGCAATTTATCATAATGTTTCCTGCTTTCGAAGCTTCCGACTGTTGGGCACCCCTGAATTTTCCAGCATTCGCCGACAGCAGCAGCGACATGGCCTCGGTCATCTTCCGGTGACGCGCACGAACTCCTCGGAACAAAGGCACCTCTTCCACATCTGGAGACATCCATGCTTGTTTTCTACCTCGGACCCAAAGGCCAAAGTTGTAGGAGTTCACCGGCCATGGAAATGCCAAGCCAAGAAGGGGCAGCCTCGCTGGATCGCACCGCCCCTGTCCCGAGTGGGTCAGGAGCCCCATTCACACGTTCACTGCAGAAGCAGGGGAAGGAAGAGAGAAAGAAAGGATCTTGGAGTCCTTGAGTCTTTGGGGGGATAGGCGCCCACATTTTATTGGGCAGAGAGTCATGTGCCACGAGCATCCAAAGCAAGGTTTGGATGACACAGCCTGGCTGTGATTCTCCATCCTGGTCCAAGTTCGGTTGCAGGATGTGCAACCCCACGCTGACAGTCCTCTGGTTTTCACCCATTTAAGACAGGCAATTAGGTCCCACTTTCATTTCAAACAATCTCTACACAGCCCAGTTTTTCCTGCATCTCCTCAATGCTGCCTCTTACTCCGCACTGCCCTCTTCCTCCCTTCCCAAAATCTTTGGAAGATTCTGGGAAGCGTGAAGGGGAATTTCCATTTGCACACACACACCTGCACTCCCCTGTCACAAAAGCCTTGTTATCTCTGCGATTCTGAAATCAGCAGCCCGGTAAACCGTGGATGGAGAAATCCAAATTACTGCAGCAATTCTTCAGATTCTATTTGCCCCGCTTAGCTTAATTGCATGGAATGAAAAGCATCAACCCATCTGAGATTTGCAAATGTTAAATCATACATTGGATGGGGGGCCCCCTGGGCCTGAGGCCCAGGGCCACCAGTCCCAGTAAAAAGCCAAGCTTGTGGCTAATTGCGGAGTCCTTGGAGCTCTCTGAGCTTGGTTGTTTTCTCGCAGACGTTTCATTACCCGGCTAGGTAACGTCTTCAGTGCTAGAAGGGAGTGGGGTTTGCTCTCTGTTTATATACTGTGGCTGGCCCTGCCAGTGTTGGGGGGGAATTGTTTTCTCCTTGGTAGTTCCTAGATTAGGCTGCTGTTTACTGCTTGACTGTTTGTCTGGTGCTAATCCCTGCTTATCTGGGTGTTGATTGCTGGCGAGGAGGTGTTCTGGTCTTTTTGTTACCAACACCAAGACAATTAACACCAGACAAACAATCAAGTAAATCAAGAAACTACCTGGAAAAAAAAAATGCACCCCCACCAACACTGGCAAGACAAGCTACTATATATAAACAGGGAGAAAACCCCACACCCACTAGCACTGATGATGTTCCCTAGTTGGGTCATGAAACGTCTGCAAGAAAACCACCAGGCTCAGAGAGTACCAAGGACTCCACAATTCAACCCTGAGCTACAGAGGTTTTTTGCCCATTCTCTTCCACGCTGCGCTTGTCCATTCAATCCAATTCCTCTGCGGATCATCCGTTACCCTTTTCCCCCCGGCATCCATCTTTCTAAACTCAGGGTCGTCCACGGGGGGTGGGAGGAGGAGGTAAAAAAGTCAAGATGGTGGCCATGCTGATGTGGTTGAAGCCCAACTCCATTTTACGTGCACAAGGCATTTTAGAAGGGTTCAGTCACATAGGAGCCATCTGGACTTTTTTGACCCCCCCCACCTCCAACTTTCCGAACTTGACTTGCTCATTTTCTCTCAACTGCAACATTCCCTCCTCCTTTTCCATTTTTTCTCCTTTCATCCCAGTTTTTATTTCTCTCTTCCCCCTTTTTTAGCGCCCACCCCCATCCCACCCCACTGGGTTCACATAAAACATTTTGCTTATTCCTGAGTTCACTCATTTTCTGTGTTTAGACCAGGGTTTGTAAGCTTGGCAGCTTGAAGAGGTGTGGACTTCAACTCCCAGAATTCCCCAGCCAGCCAT